GCTTGCTTCAGCGTTTGCTGCGGCCTGTTGGAGCGCGTAGTGTCCATCGTCGAAATCGACGGGGGAACTGTCGTGTGTAATGTAAAAGGAAGACTCACCGAGTACCTCTGAAACTGAACGTGAATACTGGTCCCATTCACTGGTGTAGACAATGAAGTTCAGCTTTTTCAGGTACTGTGAACGCTGTTCGTACTCGGCCTCCTTGCTGGAAAATATGTTCAGACCGCTGCTCTGCGAGACAGTCAGGCGGGCTGTGAAAACAAAAAAGGCAGCATATTACGAGCGTACCACAGTCGGTGTGTGTCAGTCTGTAAACGCACAATCGGGGTGTAGTTTTCCAAAAATCTTCCTTCAAATGGGTAAACTTTTATATTACATCCACACACTCCAAGCCTTAATCAGACGATTCATAGATGCCGCATTCTGACCCTCGTTCTCTACCGATCCTCACTCATTTTTTCAGCCTTGCTTAAAAGACTTGTTGATTTATAAACGTATCCTCCGAATGCTGGGTTAAGCTGCCAGTGTTTTTTATGCTTTTGGTCGATATTATAATACAGCGACACTTTAAAACAACCAAGACATTTTCCGATCGAGATAAGGTTGTTCATCCAATTCGCTCTGAATTAACGACTTCGAAGTCTTCCCATACTATAACGCCGAAGCTCCCAACGTATGTCCTGCCGTACATCGGCATATCAGCATTCTGTACTCCCATTCCTAGCACGCTGTCTCGTGTGTAAAAAAACGAAACTCCAAAAGCTGCGATTAGAGCTGTCTCCATAATATTTGCCGACTTCATGTAAACCTCTAGATTTTTTTCTCTGTCTCTCTCCCTCAAAACCTTATAAGTCAGGTTTTAATCACGTTCCATGTCAAGCCATCACAAATACGTCGCGAAATGTTCCCAATACATTTTCTAGGCTTTAAAACCAGTCATTATCGAGTTCGTCATGAGGCTCCTGCAAAACAGTCAGTACCAGGGGGTGTGATTAGTATGCATCGTAAATTAGGGCTTATACAATTTCGCGCAAATATTTAGATTGGGGAATAATAGGGTCATCCACGTAGAATTCTGCGTATTGACAGACATGCAGCGTACATATGGTAGAAGTTAATTCCGTAGGAGGGAATTTAGGAATACGAGAACGCCTCTAGAATAAGTCGCACCTGGAAATCCATTCAAATACCTCATCTATTTTCGTTCAAATTTACTTTATCGCACTGAAGTGATAGATTTGTGTAAACAGGGCCAAGCAGTTTTGTCCTACAGCCTGCCTCCTTCCTCGGTGAGTTGTGGCTTAAGAATCTGTTTGCTGAACTCTATCCTAAAGGCCAGCGCTTGTGTTTACCTTTATCCGTCAGTATACTTGGAGTAAATGACAGAAGCCCTTAAAAACTCCATTGCGACGTTACAGTAATGCATAAAAGTGGTAACGATGCAAAAATGGATAGAGATCGCTTTGGGCTTCAAACATGCATAAAATTATTTATCCGATATTAAAGCTTAAAAAGGTGAGAGGTTTGAGATATAGCAGTGTGTAAATTAGTGTAAATTAATGGTCTGTTGAAATCAAGGGAGTAGTATGTTTGTAGTCATCTTTTGTCTGTTAAGCAAGGGCTTAAGTTTGTGTCGTCTCTTGAATAGGCTCACGGTAGGGAAAGGTCAAGAGAGAGGAAAAGGCTGGCATTTTGACTGTTCATATACACACCAAGGAAGAAGAGGAAACTCAGAAGAAAAATATGCGATCGCTGGGAAAATACTTTTATTCGTCTGACGTTTCGAAAACCGTCGTGGATCCTTCACCAGAGACATTAGCAGAAAAGTAGCAGAAGAGGAAACCTCAGTGGAGGTCTACGCAAAGACACACACACACACACACGAGCAGAAGTTGACTTACTAAGGGCTTCCTTGAACGCGTTCTTATCCTGAGTCATAAGGTTATCTACCAGAATGCACCAACTGTAGAGAGCCGTCGGGGACATTTGGAAGAAATTGGTATCCATAAGCATGTCGAAGACTTCCTTGCGCCATGCCCGACGGGTGAACTGGTAGGAGCTTAGTGTTGCCAGGACCTGACTAGCCAACGCAAAATGCCGGGCGTTCGAGGAGCTAAAGGACAAATACGCGCAGGCGTAAATAATTGCTACTTATATGCACGCAGTAGGCAGGCAAGCAGTAAAATATGTCTTACGTTCGGGTTTTCAGAAATGGCAGGATGTTTGACATTATCCCATTAGTCAGCACGGAGGGTACTCGATCCTTCTCTTCGCTGCGATACAC